CATGCTCTCTGTATGTGTGTATATATATCTCCTCAATATATGTTCCATTCTATGCATCCGAAAAAGTGGGCTGTAGCCCACGAAAGCTTATGCTCAAATAAATTTGTTAGTCTCGAAGGTGCCACAAGTACTCCATTTCTCTAATGGAAGTTGCAGAAAGGGGAGAATTTTTTTCAGCTTGAGGCTTTATCACATGCTTTTTTCTTAGGAAGATTAAACACCCATTAAAACTATAATGATTAGAGCATATTTTACTTGTAACAGAGAGGGAGAGAGGAACTCACTAGTGATTTAGTTTCCTTTACTGAAAAAGGAAAAAAATAAAGTTACAAACCAGCATGTGCTCTAAGATAGTTTTGCTATACTTGTTAGGCAGGCACTTACATTTGCAAAAAAGGAACACTGAATTTGTCTCTCTCACAGCAAACAGTATGCTAAAGACACAAATTACAAAGCCAAATACATCAAGGCTTCCCTGTTTAGCAATGCTCAATTATTTTCAAAAGCAACAGAGTGTCCTGTGGCACCTTATAGATTAACAGATGTACTGGAGCGACTTCGTCAGATGCATGTAATTCACCCACAAAAGCTTATGCTCCAATACATCTGTTAGTCTATAAGGTGCCACAGGACTCTTTGTTGCTTTTTACAGGTCCAGACTAACACAGCTACCCCTCTGATACTTGACAATTATTTTCAATTATCTCACCCTTAAAAATACTACATTTTGAAGGATCATCTAATTACTGCATAATACGTACTAAGGATCAAATCTGACAGCCCTTATGGAAGTAAAGTTCTCATTGACTTGAAAGGGAGTTTGCCTAAATAAGCACTGTAGGATTTGATTGAGGCTGGTATTCAGAATGGACACATTTAAGGTGAAGACATGGAAAAGAGAAGGCTCTGCTCCAAAGCAGGATATTTTATAATCCTGGACATATGGAATTATTCACCCTGTCTTCTCCACGGGGGCCTCACAAGAACTGGGTGACCCACAAGGATTGGGTGACAGACAGGGAAAACTTATTGTCTGCTATAATACATCTTAACAGGAAACAAGCTAGGTCTTCAAGGAAGCATTGCCATTCAAGGTATATTGCCTCTACACTGATTGCTCTGGCTTCTGGCAACTCTCTCAAGATCCTCAGATTTCAGGGGCTGAACTCTTTTCTTGTTTCACAGGGTGGAGGAATGCAAACTGTTTCCCCCCTCCCCCCCGCCCCCAGCCCTAAAATAAACAACCAGATGAAAATTCTGATTGCAGTTCCCCTCCATAAAAAAGTTTATTTAGGGGACAATTTAGCTCTATTTCTATATTTGTTTTTAACCAAAATATGCTTCAGCAATCATACTTGATTTTACCTGTAAGTACTTTCAAGCTGTGTATCCAGGAAGGTGTTCTGAAAGTAGAAAGTCACACTATCGCCTATTGGAGTTTTTTCAGGAACTTCAGGCAAGCAAAACACAACCCAGGAGTGAATTTCAGCAAAACTGAAGTGGCCTTTGAGCATCAGTGTGTTCATGGGTCTATAGTATTTTGAATACAGAAAGAAGATGGGAATTAGTTACTGATGAGCAGTACAGATGCTGCGGTAGCTATGCAATTGCAGACAAAAGTTTATTTTTCATATGGTATGTCTTCCGCCCTTTCAGCCTCAAACATGAGTTTTCACTGACTTCTAGCAAAGTCCTAACTAATTCAGACTTCCTGCACACGGATATATATATTCTAAAAATTGCAATCAGCATTTAATAGTATTCTCTGATAAATTCAGCACAAAATCCTGTGTGTGAGAGACACTTCTTATTTGAATATTCTCAATCCAGATGAGTCACAACTGGGCAAGAACACCATACATTGGCAAACTGTTTTTCCAGGTTACTTATTTTGCATTTTAAAAACCAAAGCAGGCTGTGGGTGGAGTGATCAACTGACAGTGCAGAAAATCAGAGTATTCGAAACACTCTCATGAGTCTCCTGTTCTCTAAACCAGAGATATGCAAGTACTTTGCAGAGGTAATACATGTGAAATAGGCATAATGGAAAGAATAGGAAACCTTTCCCATTAGCATCTCAAGCAAGTGAACCAAGGAGGAGTAAACGCATTTGGTCTAGTTCACTGGGATTCTATTTTCCTTCAGCCGTGATGTAAGAAACAGGAAGTTTAAGTATAACTGGATAAAATGGCAGCCTCACAACAGAGGAATAAAAGGCAAACAAGAAACCTAGACCAGTTTTTGGGCTCAGCTAGATATGGGAGGGTACTATTTGTTTAAAAAAAAATAAACAAACACCCTAGAAGAGACTTGCGATGTTGAGTATTACAATCAGTTGCTAAAATGATTACTGCAGGTTACGCAGTCAACTAAGTTTCAATTGGATTGAACCAATTTTTGAAGAAGTATTGCTCTCTCTTTGTAAATACCTGTCATGATCAATAAAGTGAGTTCTTTGATGAAGTGAAAGTGGTTTAATCTGATATTGACAAAGTTGGCAAGTTTTCGGTTGAATTCTTGGTGTTACATATGCTTGCAGTGTCCCATACTGGCCTTCAATTGATCGAATCTACATCAATAAACATAACAAAGAGGAGAGTGGGAAAAAATAATGAATTTACCAGAATTAAAAAATATATATATATATTTTTAAAAAAACTACAGTACTAATGATCCAATTAACAGTACTCCTATAAAAGGGGCAAATTTAACTTTTTGAAACTAGATGGAATAGCATTCAACAAGAAACTGCCAGAATTGGCACAGATTTATTACAGAGGAAAAGAAAATCTATTTGCTTTGATTCTGACTGCCCAAAGAACAAAGACTTAGTCCAGCCACTCCTAATCCTTTGGTGTTACTGTACAAGTTTTTACAGAATTTATGCTATGTAAGATGACATAAGACATGTCATTCTACACTTAAAACTATTCCAAAACGACCTCAACAGCACCCACCCACCCACTTCACAACAAGCAAAATCCTTCAGTCCCCCCCGCAAAAGAAGATTTTTTAAAAAAAGAAATGGGTCTATATCCTCAGCTGCAGTTAGGGAACACTAAGAAAAGTGGAGTGTGCAAAAGAGGCTTTGAGCCAGTTTTGCACTCACCCCCATCCCGAACCTCACTCTACATCAACCCAGTCCTGTATACTTTCATTTTCTGTCTAGATTGCTGTAAAGTGTACCAGCTGTCAAGCGCTCCAATGGAATTGTCAAGGCATAGGGATATGCTATCCACTGCCCCTTCACAGGCAACAAGGGTGGAGCAAAGCATAAAGGTGCTACTAAGATGGCTTTATACCATCTGAATGAAGGATGGCATAGGGGCTGGAACATTAAACTGGCATTCAGGAAACCCTGGTTTAACTCCAAGCTCAGGTACATGCTTAAATGACTTGTACAAAGTTACAAGGAATTTACCCTGTTACGGGGGGGGGGGGGGGAGGGAGGGG